TGTGTGACAATGTATAGTGTGTAAATAGATTTTATATATACACAAATTAGCATGATACATAGTAAATATGTGCTGCATATGTGTACACAAGTTTCATGCACGTAACAGTGTCTACGGACAGTACGGATGTTGTACTGCGATATTGTAGTGTACGTGTTCATTATACATTGGATTGGCACATAAAAACAATGAAAATGTATTTGGAAAGGTGCGCAAAAAATGAACGAAAATATATTCGCGGCAACTCACGCGCCCCGCCCCGAGCGCCCCACCGCCCCCGAGAGCTTATGGCACGGGCGCACGGGGAATGATGACGTCACGCCCCAACTTCCGGACCCCATAGCAGCCAAAGTAAGTACAATTTCGATTTTTTTTTACATACCCATACTGAGGGAAGGGTTTTTGACACTTTAAAAAGAAAAAAGAATTTTTTCCAGATAATTTATTTCCTGCGCACTGCGGGGGTGTCACATTTGGAGGCAACGCAGTTAATGGGTTAAGGGTTAGTGACGATCACACTTGTAAGAAATTCCATTATTTTGGTGATTTTTGTAATTTTTAAATATAAAAGTAATTATTATATATCACACCATGGGTACCAAAAAAGTCAGTGGTAAGGTTTAACATATGAAAACACATGTGAGGATGACCATAGAGGCAGTACAGAATGTCCCTTCCTCAGAAATTAACCCTCAAACCGCTAGGGGTCCAAATGTAATTAGCACCCACAGGCGTAACAAAAAAAAAATCAATTTTTTTTTTCTTTTTTATCTCTTTATTTGTGTTCCCTGAGCACGGGAAAAATAATAAAAAAATTTAATTGCACTTACCGTTGACGTAAATGTGCCGAGAAGATCATCGATGACATCCCGCCTGATCTTCGCTGGACCGCTGTGCGCCCAGGGTGAGTTAGGCGCAACGGAGGAGGAGCGCGAGTTGCCGCAAATTTATTTTTGCGTTATTATTTACAGTATCTATGGCGTATTTTACACCCATTTTTTTCACTGGTGTGGTTCAATATGTTCTCACGAGATGATTTATAAACATAAAACTGTTGTCAATGTATATTGTATCCACATATTAGTGTCACAAGTATTTGCACAAAAATGTCTTATTTCTCAATAAAATATACAATTTCTTATGATTTATTTCCACTATATACACTCACTTATTCTGTATTTACATGTTTTGGCACCAGTCTTGGACTTTAGAAGTCATCAAGACTGTGATACTCGTTGAAACATTGGACATGGCACAGAGGGACCTGACACGCTATGCACCAAGTCATCACCAATTTTCTTTTCTGTTCCCTCTTGGTTGTTGACCAGCATACTACACACGCATGCTGGCCTACTGCATGCTTTCCAGTTGGTGATAAAAACCTGAGATTGTGTGTCAAAAAGGCATCACTGTAAGCGAGCCTGGGTGTTGGAGCATGGTGAGTTCAGAATGGGCCTCTGTACACCAGGAATTACTTTGCCAAACTAATGTAGTAATTGTGTTACTACAGTAAAATTGAATGCACGGAAATTACGTTTACCACCTGTTTTGACAAGATACACATTGTAACTGTTCAGCATTGTTACGTCAACAAGGTGGAAAAACATTTTCTTGGTCCACTTCACTGTTTTCCGTACACTACTGCCCCCACCATCATATCATATTTATCCACCAAACGCATGTTGATGTTATAGTCAAAGACACAATCTGGCTTATAGATTAATTCTCTGGTGGTTCTGTTCACCTTGCCACTGTCCAGCATTGTTCCAGCGTGAATGGTGGTCAACATATGACGTTTTGGAGTACTACACAAGATTTAAACGGGCTGCAGATACATGGGGTTCACATCACCTTCCTCGGGACTCTTGTAAAGAGATACCATTTTTAAAATAAATCGTGGACCACATTTCCTGGGGTGAGGGCCTCACTACTGAGTGAGCCACCAAGGCTGGTGCACGCAGCATGAGCTCACAGCACTGCTGTTCAGCTTGTGACCACAGCATCGCCTAATAATGTAAAAAATATATGTAACTAGTATTATTTAGCCATGATATTATTACAGAAGACCCCTGACTGTGATAAAAATGACCAAGATTCTGATAATAGCAGGAGTATTGTGATAATAGCAGGATTGTTGTGATCAGGGAACACAAATGAACACTTTTATAAGACTTTTTTTTTTACCTGTGGGTGTTGAAAGCCAAATATCCCAGAGCACCTTAGGGGTTAAGGACTGCCATGAGGATATTAAGTATACCCTTGAGGCCCAAGGCCATTCTATCCTCCAGGTGGATACCTTCACTTGGTCCCCTTGTGGTCGTCACCGTCAGCCTTTTTACATTGTGAAGGTCACGTTTGATGGTAGGTCCCTTCCCTCTTCAGTCATTCTTGCTGGTGCTAGATGCCCTGTTCAGGAGTACATCCCCTCTCCTTGCCTCTACAGCAGGTGCTGGAGATTTGGGCATGGTTCCCTTTAGGTGCACAAGTGAGGTGTGGGTCTGCCCCTTGTGTGGAACCTCAGGTCATTGTAAGATGGAATGCCCTTCTTCCCAAACTCTCTGCATCAGTTGCGGTGATACCCATCCTGCCTTCTCCCGTGCATGTGTGCATTTCAAATTTGAGGTATTAATCCTCAATTTGAAGCATCGTGATGATTTGTCTTTTCCTAAGGCTAGGCGCCAGGTTTGCCGTCTTCCACTTTCTCTGGCATGTCTTATTATTGTGTGTGTTGCATGCCCCTTCTCGCCCTCTTCCACTTTCTCAGGCATGTCTTATTATCGTGTGTGTTGCATGCCCCCTTCTTCTCGCCCTCACGCACTTTCTCCGTTTCACAACTGTTTCGAGGCCTTGGACCCTGACACCTCCACCACCACCTCATCAGCTCCGTCTGCTCCTTTGTGTTGTGGAGAATGGAGACTCAGAGGGTCCTCCTCCTGGTTCTCCATCTGGTGTTTCCTTACTTCCTTCCCGATCTTCTTCTTTTCCTGTGCCCTCCTTCTCGCCTCTCTCCTTCTCAATCCTTTCCCTCTGTTGCTTGGTCCTCCTCGCCACCTGTCTGTTCAGGCCATTGTCCATCCTCCTCCCAGTACTCGTCATGTTGCCCATTCCCGTTCTCCTTCTGTTGAAACTATCGAGGTGGTCGCCCAGTATATTGCTGATGGTACGCCTGTCTCTCTACGTCAGAAGCATAAGCCTGGCCCCTCTCCTCCTTCCTGAGTGCTCTTAAGGGTAGTGTGTTCCCATGGCCTTCCTCCGACCACTGTTACCAGCAGTTTCCCACTGCTGGTAATGTATCTGGCGAGGTTACGTATTGGCCATACCCGCTTAACTCACGGACACTTAATGGAGCGCTGCCCCTACTCCTTATTGTCTGAATTGCATTGTCCCTCTTACAGTCATGCATATCCTTGTTGAGAGTCCTGACTTCTAGGATGTGCGTGCGTCGTGCTTCCCGACTGTCCCTCGCGATCACCTGTCCCTCGATAGTATCTTTGGGGAATCAGATACCTTTGATGATGTTTGCCTTATGCACTTTTGTTCTCGTATTGACATCCTTAGTGATATTCAGCACCTTTTGAATATCCCACACTTTTGAAGGTGCTACGTAGCCTCTCTGGCTTCGTGCCTTCTTTTGATAATTACTTACTTGCTGATTTGGAGAGCATGCAGAGATCCTTTACTTCTAGAATCCACTCAGTAAAACATCCAAACTATTGGGACTGACTAAAGTGCCTAAATCTGTATTCTCCTGAGCGCAGGTGGGAGAGATACATAATAATTTACACATAGAAAACAGTAGCGGGGCTGGTCCCAAACCTGCACACAGAAATAACACCACATGAGACCAGAAGGTATAGCAGGATGTGCAGAATACCCCTGTTGAAAAGCAGAGGTGTAATAGGTACTCTGAGAGAGAACTCTATCAACATCATTCCTCGGAGACTGTTCAAAACGCTTCCACTACGCGTAAGCTGCATACCTGGCCGACCCCTCACAGTGTTCAAGAGAGAACTTGACAGGCACCTCCAAAGGATACCTGACCAACCAGGCTGTGAGCAGCCGTGTCCAACAGCCTGGTTGACCAGTCCAGCAACTAGGAGGCCTGGTCAATGACCGGGCCACTGGGATGTTAAGCCCGAAATCATCTCAAGGTAACCAAGGTAACCACATTATAAATTTAAAAAGTACAATAATCTATTTCATTTAGCTGTAAGATACTGCATATTCAGTTTTGTTTTGATATGGTGGGGGGTGGCCTCCTCACTAGCTGTCTGGGAGGCACTGTTGGTTGACAAAATTCTCTTCGTACTAATGATTCTTGAGCATTGCTTTCACTTATGAGACTTATGAGCAGTCATTAATCATATATTTGTTTTCTTAACTATTGACTGGCACTATCAGTATTGATGGCAGTGCTTCACCAATGGTTGACTTCCTTTAAAACAGTAGGCCTCCTACAGCCACTCAAAGCACTACTGACGTTAGATTGTTGCTCTAGCACAGCTTGAACACTTCATATTATAAATCTGCCACTTTGCTTTAGTACCACTGTCCCCTCACCTTGCATATCTCACACTAAATTAGGAGCGCTAGTCCCACCTCCTACATCGCCTAAGTTTACACTATAACGTATGCACATTCTATTACATATTGACTTCTGCTACCACTTTCTTTACATGACTTGATATTGGTAAAGGACAGACTGAAATATCATCACTTCCATTGTTTTCAGAGGTGTGGGTTGGGTACCTAATTTTCAAACACATTATTGTGACTTACTGTCTGCTTAACAGTGTAGGCTCGAATGTCATGATTAATGTCATTGGACTTGCAAAGGCTTGAACTTGCAAAGGCACTTAACATAGTATACAAAATTCTGATTCTGAATCTGAATCAATTCAATGATTCTGTTGTTGGCTACCCAGTGTTGTAACTTGATGCTCTTAGTTATAAATGTGTTTAATAGTAATTTAATAATAAGCTCTCTCTTTTTTTTCCAGTGTCGCTTGGATTTAAATGCTCTCAACAACTATAATGAAAATGCATCAACTTTAGCAATTTCAAATAAATATGTTGAGGTGTCGGAGATCCTACAAAATGTACAACTACCACAGGTGTGTTCTATTGTGTTGATGCCTTATGTACTTTAGGATAGAAGGGGTATTACATGCGTGATGTTTTCATCGTCATAAGATCATAAGAATGCAGGAAATCACAGTAGATTTTTTATTATTATTAGCTAAACCATTCAGCTTCTATGTATATCCTACAGTAACCACTCTTATATTTCTGTGGGGAGTCCCATTGGCTCTCAGAAGCTAGTATTTTGATTAAGTGCCACACTGTTTGGAGTCATCAGTCGCAGAGTTCTTGTATACCTGCCGGGAACCACAAGCCAGAATCTGGTCCCCCCCTCCTCACAGAGGCACAGGGAGCAATGGGCCCATGAACACTTTACATTTAAAGTTTATCACCTTGCCATCGACCAGAAAAAGCATCCAGAAAGGTAGGCAAATCAAAACTGACTACGACCTGATCGAAGAATGTGACCTCTACCCTCAAATTATCAAAAAAACATCCCTACAAAGAAAACAAACAATCAAAATATTGTCCAACTAACTCCTAGGTCATTAGCTCCACCTTCCCCCTCATGTTTGTGCCTGGCAATCATTGGTTTACTCTGGCTACAGTTTCCTAGTTTTTCTGGGGTGAGCCCCTTCGATTTCCCGGAGCTATCTAGGCTCATATGTATGTATTAAACCCCTGGCATCAGTCAAGCAAATGGAGTTTTAGGCCTACCAGGGACCACGAGCCAGAACCTGGCCCCCTCAGAGAGGTATGAGGAACAATGGCCTATTGAAACTCCCGTGTGGTTGGAAGCATTCTATGTCTGCCATCAACCGGGTCAGGCACCCAGAAAGGTAGGTGCCCCAAAACAAACCCTATCTGGTTAAAAAATTGCTACCGAAAGCTGAACTATTGGACAGAACTCCCCCAACAAAAAACGAGCAAACTAGCATGATGTCACAACCATCACCGTGCCGCCTTCTGTGCAGCTCCCCACTCTTCCCAGAAGGGGAAAAGGGGGAGCCCCAGACCCCCGTGCCGGCTATCCACCCTTCAATTCTTGGTTGATGTGAGACCTTGGCGGTCGTGCGACTCTGGCTTCAGAATTGTCTCGGTGTTGTGCCTTGGGGTGTGGTCCTGTCCCTTTCGGGTGTGTGAGCCAGGAGTAATTTCTTCAGTACTCGAGCTACATGTGACTAGGGTTACCTTCCCTAGATGCCCTGTTAGTACTGCCCTTGTGGCTTGGGGTTCTCTTCCACAAGTTACTTAGGATCTCTCTTCGCCGTGGTCTTTTGCTGCTTGGTGATTGCCCGCCCTTGGAGTCAGCTGGTGTGTTTCATGTGCCCTTGGGTAGGAGGTAGTTTCATCACTGGTAGAGGCGCAAGGTACTGTGCAGCTAGTTTTCACCTTATAACAGCAACCGGTTCTGTTCTACCTGTGACATTGTACTCGTGCAGAGTTTTTCTTTTCTTTTTCGCCCGGTAGGGGGTCTGCCCTTGGTATGTTCACCCCTCTATTAATGTGTTCTTGGTGGTCCTCTGCTAGGTCCCTGTGTGTGTATACGTCGCTGGGGTTCAGCTTTAGCAGTTTGCTTGTTAGTTTTTGAGCGCCGGTTAGCAATACCTTGCCTGGGCTTCTCTTAGCAGAACAACTAAGGGCCCCGGAAAACCCCACTGAGGCTCCCGAACAAATAGCCTGGATGTGTCACAACGGAAAGGTTGATGATATTCATGAGAGATGTAAGAATTTTGCACCAAGACTGTAATCTTTTGTTGAAATATCTGCATATCTCTTGCAAATTGTCTATACAGTATATCTAGGTCATAAAAGTATTTGTGTGTGTACATCTGATGCCATACTACTTGTGTAAAGGAGGAAATGTATATGTTTATCTCTCAGAATGTTCGGTAATATGTTTATTGTGTGTGATGTGTATGTATGTATGTATGTATGTATTAACACAATGTACTGAACAGGGTGAGAATAGCTTGAGCTACCTCATCCCTTTGTGTGTAATTTACCTCAATAAACTAATTGCAATTTCAATTTCAGTAGTTGGATGGATGCGTCCTCTGTGTTCCATTTCACTTCATGCGCGTTTGAAGGTTGCTCTGTTTCCTTGTCTCAGGGTGACACCTCTGACCCTGAGTCTTGCGTATGGAGTTCCTTGCATGTTCTCCACTTCACCCAGTCCACTGATAATGATATTCGAGTGCAGGCAGCTTAGGCTTTGTATGCGTGTTATAGGATGCTGCAGTGTGCTAGGTTGGTTGCCCACCTGGATGCTCCGAGGATGCATTGTTTTGGTTATTGGGACCCAGACTTGAGGGTGTTAGTCGCCTCGACTTTGGTTCTGTCTGCGCCTTCCTATCCTTCTCCTGCTGGTGTTCGACCTGTTCTCCCCTTCTTCCGGCTCCGAAGCATCAGAGGGTTTCACAGTTGGGGCAGGGTTTGCCTGGTGGTAAAACTTGGGCAATTTTGGGGGATGCCCATCCGATGTGGGAACAGAGGCATTCGAGCCAATTCCTCCAGCTTGTTCCAGCTTTTCCAGCGGTTTCTATTTTTTTTTTTTTGGGGGGGGGGGGGGGGGTTGGCAGAAGGTTTGGAGGACGGCTCAACCCAGGATCGTGATTCCTGGGGTAGGGGAGGGGCTGACTTGGAAGGGGGGGGCTGACTTGGGGGGGGGGTTTGGGTTTTGACCTTGCTTGTGTTTTGATACCCTCTGAGCGGGGCTTGTCGTTGCAGGGAGTGGGTTTTTCTTCTACCCCCCCCCCCAACTTCTATGTATGAATTTGAAATTGCGTCAACCCCTCCCCGGGTTCGGTTCTGGGTTCCCTTGGGTCCTTCGGTCCCTTCTTTCCCAAGGTTTTCGGCCTCCAACATCCCGCCTCATGGTGCGGGTGGCCATTGCAGCTTACTTTCTACGAGACCCAGAGTACGCCTCAATAATGGATCATGCTTCTTTCGCGTTTGGTTCTTCCTTTCCTTACTGGGTGCATTACGGGAGTTGTAACACACCCAGTAAGTAACGCACTCCGTACAGCCGTAGTCATCATGTTTGGGAGACTGCTCTATCTTTTCGTTGGGGGCTTGGCATGTCAGTCCCACATGCTTGAGTGGCGTGAGGTAAAGCTGTGGTACAGGTTTACCTGGGGATGAGTTTGAACGCCTCGATATAATTCTGGTTCCTATATAATTCTGGTACTGATATAATTCTCGATATAATTCTGGTTCCTTCGGGAACGTCCTTTCCTCCTCTCTTGCTATCACTGGGTTCGGCCTCCAGGCACAAACCAGGATGCATGTTTGTTCGCCCCTGCTCTTCTGCAGGATGTTGGCCAGGAACAGCTTCATGTGCAGGTTCTCTCTTTCGGCTGCCCTGATTGCTGAGGACTTGTGTGCCCGTGGCCATTTGTCTTCAGTCTTGCATTTCTTTTCCCTTCTTGAGCTGTCTTCGGACTGGCTTAAGAAGGATGTAGAGGCACTCGGGGCCGATCCTGGGTCTGATACGCTGGTCTCGCCGGTACGGGCATCGGTTGCCCTATTAAATCTGTTTACGCCGATCTTGCGGGAGGTGGTGTCTCCGTTCTTTGCTTCTCGTTTCACATGCCAGCAGGCGGTGCTCGCTCAATCTGTGGGATCCGCTTGGGCCCTGGCACTTAGGTTTTTATGCCTTTTTGTCCTCTTCTGTTTGCAAAGTCTTCGGTGATGCAGTATCCGCAAATGGCTTCTTCGAGTTGTCGTCCCATGTCTGACTTGTTGGTTCTCAGAGGAGGGGGGGGGTTGGAAGGGGTCTTCCCGGAAGGGTTGTGCCAGGGCTCGCGATTCCTCTCATTGTGGTAGGCCAGTGGTGCCAGGTTCTGAACCAACGACTGGTCGGTGCGGTGATCGCTCTGCTCATCAGTCAACTTCGTGTAAGTGGCGTCGGCCCTTTTGCGGTTCGTCCCATTTACAGGGCGATGGGGAGGAGGTTCGCACTGTTTGCCCACGTCTTGTTCCACAATTTGTGGGTGTTTTGGGTCGTTTTTTGCAGCCTGTGGTGGCATTGGGTGGCTCCTTCTCCTTCAGGGCGTTCGGGACTGGCCTCCTGTATTGGTCTCTGTCAATTCATCTTGGAATGGGTTCACTTGGGAGTGGTCGAAACATCCTCGTCCCTCAGGTGGGTTTTCTGCCGGTTTCTGGTTCCAAAACAGGACTGCACGAATCCTGTCTGAATCCACGGGTCTTTTGCCCCTCCTTTCGGATAACTACTCTCCCCCAGTTCCATCTTCTCTTGGAGCCGGGCACTTGGATGGTGTCCATGGACCTCAAGCATGCGTATTGGCACATCCTGATTCATTCGGGGTTCTGGGACTGGCTCGGGTTTGTGGTGGGGCGTCAGGCTTACCGCTTTCGTTGCCTTCCCTTCGGAATGCAGGGAAGATGTCTGAATCTGGCATCTTGTGTGTTCACACAGCTTACCCCGGGTCGTGGTGGCCCATCTGCCTCTCTCAGGGGTTCGGGTTCTTGCCTACCTCGATGACCGGCTAGTATGAGCTCCCAACCAGTCTGCATTTCTGCTCACCAGGGAATTTGTTCTTTCCCAGCTCACCATATTCGGGTTGCTGATGAACTGGATGAAGTCCCATCTGTGTCCCTCTCAGGTTTGGTCTTTTTGGGATTCTCGGACTGCTTCCTTGTCTCTCCCTCTGGAGGATCTGCTGCGGCTGCAGTCCTGCCTTCACTTATTTCTGGGGATCTCCCGGGTCACGAGGCAGTTGCTCGAGGGTTTGTGCGGGAGTCTAAACTTTGCCATGGTGGTGGTCTACCTGCTGGGTCAGGTGTGGCTTCATCGGCAGTTATGGTTCCCTCAGGGCCATCCCTTTTGCCTCTCTTGCTATCACTGGGTTCGGCCTCCGGGTGCCTATTCGTCAGCTGCTGCGTTGCCGGCTTTCTCTTCGGGTTTCTCGAGGTTCAGTGCCTAGGTGCCTACCCAACCCCTCACTTGATGTGTTCACGGACGCGTCGTCTCATGGCTGGGGCTTTGTGACCAGTGCTCACCAGGCTA